CCCTAAACCCTAAACCGGTTAAGGTTTCAGCTTCGGGGTTCCGATCTGCGCTGTCGGCTCTTTTTTAGGGCTTCGGGGATTTGGGGTTTAGGGTTTAGGGTTTAGGGTCGGCTCTTTTTTAGGGTTTCGGGGTTTTTGGGGTTTGGGGTTTAGGCTTGTGGGGTTTAGGGTTTAATTGAAGGGGAGTTTAGGGATATAGAGGGCTTCTATGAGGCTTCCATGAGGTATATAGACATATAGACATTCTATAAGGCTCCTACAACGGTAACTAGGCACCGGAAAATGTCCTAGATTTAGGGTGTTAGAAAGATGCACTCGCCCTGCACAAATCTCAGTCTACACCACCCAACCCCGGGACACGGTTTAGGGTTTAGGGTTTAGGGATGAAAGATGCGGTGACACTGGCCGGAGCACGCCGTGGGCCTCAACAATTAGAGTACAGCGTGAGGGCAAGGAGTGATTCAGCTTAATCCCAAAAATACGGGGGCCTTAATAATCAGAAAGGGCTTTGAGCCCCTTTATGGTATGTTTTTATTATAAGGAAGCCCCAAAAGAATACTGGTAATGTATTTAGGCTTCTATATCAAGGCTGTGGCGATATCAGTCCCGTCCGTTGTGAAAGTATATTAAGCCCTGCAGCTGAAGAACATGTTGGCTGTCCTCGTGCTCGTGCTGGTGGTGGTCGTGATGGTGTTGCTTGCGGTTTGGGGTTTAGGGTTTTAGGGTCTAGGGGTTCAGGGTTTAGGGGTTTAGGGTTTAGGGTTTTACAGACAATGCCACCCAGAACCGAGAAAACGACGCCGTGCATACAACCTAGAAAGACAGCAATCGTCAATCAACGCCAGAACCAGCAGTCAAAATCAAAGCAGCAACCCACAGACTAGCCGGACATGTCACGAATATGTGTCGTCCCCTGAACTCTAAACCCCGAAACCCTAAACCCTAAATCCAAATTTTACACAACAAAACCCAAGTCATAAATCCCAAGTCCTGTATCCCCTACTCCCCGCAACCTAAACCCTGCAGCGAATACTTAGGGGTGGGAGCAGGAGCTTTTTAGGGTTTAAGGTTTAAGGGGTTAGGGTTTACGCTTTAAGGAATTAGGGTGTGGGGTTTAGGGTTTAAGGGTGTAGGGTTTAGTGATGGTATTCTGAGCAGTACTGGGGCCTAAGCACGATATCCTAAACCCCTACACTCCGAACCCCAAGCCCCACTCTTGAATGTTCATGGGACTCAGTAGCTACAGAGGGGTATTCATCAGCTAACCATAGTGGTCGTTACTTATGTAACCCTAAACCCTACCCGCTAATGTAACTGCGCTTATTAAGTTCCCTGATCCCTCAACTAAACCCCGTAAACCCCTACACCCTAGACCCTTGAATCACCCCTAAACCCCTAAACCCCTGAACCCCCTGAAACCCTAAACCCCTCCAAAGCCCTGAACCCTCTAAACCCTACAACCCCGAAGCCTTAAACCCAGGTTTCCAAGTAGCCCCGTTTTGAGAAGGGTACCCTTTTCTCTACGTTACTATTTGGTTTTAATTACTGAACCCCAAAGTACCTAGAACCCTAAACCCTAAACCCGAAACCCGAAGCCCGAAACCCTAAACCCTAAACCCGAAACCCTAAACCTAAACCCTGAACCCTCATAACCCTAAACCCTCATAACCCTCATAACCCTCATCTCCCACCTGCTTGCCCTGAACCATCTTGTGCTCCATGTGCTGGAGCTTCGCCTCTCGGGTTTTGAAGGGTTCGGAGCTTTTGTTTAAACCCTAAACCCTAAACCCTAAACCCTAAACCCTAGGTTGCTTGGTTGGTTTGGGGTTTAGGGTTTAGGGTTTAGGTTTCGGGTTATGAGGGGTTTAGGGTTTACGGTCTTGGGCTAAGGGTGTAGGTTCGCTTTTGGGGCTTTGTTGATGCAGCGCTCTAGAACTCTCTCTCTCTCTCTCTCTGTCTAGCTCTCTCTCTGTAGAGAGTTTGTGCTACACACACATACAGAGTATGTGTATGCATATTAGGGTTTAGGATTTAGGGTTTAGGGTTCAGGGTTTAGGGTTTAAGGTATAGGGTTTAGGGTTGAAGGTTGAGGGCTTAGGGTTTAGGGGGGATTACACTGTTTACAAAACCCAAAAACCCTCAACTCAAAATCTCGAAGCCTCAAACTACATGTATTAGGGTCCCTAATTCTCTGAGACTCTGTTCCATGCGGCACCCTAAACCCTAAACCCTAAACCCTAAACCCTAAAATCACCTGTCCGAGCCTTTACATGCTGAGGCCGCGCAACGAACTGCGGAAGTGATACGTTGACCAGTTTAGGCTTTGCCATTTGGGTTCGAGATGGCATACTTAAGGGCTCAGAGGACTTAGTAAGTGGGGTTATACTTGGGGTTACAAGTCCACCAGGGGGGTTATCCTAGTTTTAATCTTACTTATAACCTCAAAACTCACGCACACGTCATATAAACCCTAAACCCTACAAACAAGTCTAAACAACCAACTACACAAAACTCATTTAAAAAACCTGAGCCCAAAAGCTACAAACAACAAGCGCTAAACCCCACAGCTAACTAAACCCAAGCCCGAAACCCTTCAATTCGTAAGCCTGTGGGTCTCCAACAGACTGAGACTGGTGCCCCCCATGCTGCAAACCAAGGTTTTGCATAAACCCTAAACCCTAAACCCTTTAGGACTTAGGATTTTGGATTTACAGCTCGGGATGTCTGGCTTAGTTCAGGGTTTAAGACTTATAGGACTCAGGGTTTAGAGTTTAGGTTGCAGGGCTTAGCGGGGATTAGGATTCAGGGTCTACTTGGAGGTCCATGGGTAGTTATAAGTGGGGTTATAAGTCCCTTAATATGGGTTATAATTATGGTTACCCTACTTATAACAACCCTAAACCCTAAACCCTAAACCCTAAACCCTTATAACTACCCATGAACCTCCAAGTAGGTTCTAGGATTTACGTCGACTTTAGGGGCTTGGGATGAAGAGCTCTGGATTTAGGATTCAGAACCCTAAACCCTAAACCCTAAACCCTAAACCCTAAACCCTGAACCCTAAACCCTAAACCCTAAACCCTAAACCCTAAACCCTAAACTCTAAACTAAACCCTAGGAAAACCCTTAGGGTCAGAGGGTTTAGTTTAGGGTTTAGGGTTTAGGGTTTAGGGTTTAGGGTTTGAAGCCCAATAACCCTATCAGGGCTCAGGACTTAGGGTCTCGGCTTGTAGGATCTGGCTTAAGCGCACGACATCTCCCGAAAGGTTGCTAAGCCATGGGTTTTAAGGGGTTTAGGGTTTGGGGTTTAGGGTAGACCCGAATCAATAACTGTATAAGCTTAAGGTAGGGGCCTTAAAAATTTGAATAGGGTTTTGGGTCCATTATCGAATATTGATGATAAGGAACACCCAAAATTGTATTGGCAATTCTTGAGGCACCTATATTACTCAGAAACCAACCACCCATCCGCCTGGAGCTCCACTTTGCGCTGCTCTTCCTGGCTCAGTCTTCCAGGAGTTAGGATCCGGGGGACCCTAAACACTAAACCCCTGAACCCCTAATCCCTAAACCCTAAGGGGGACATAGACCCTCTCAACAAGGTCCCGTTTAAGAGAGCCACAAGTAGGGTTAAGAAACGTGCCCTTTATAAGGGGTCTCCCTGATACTGCCTAGGATCTTCGAGCTAGGAGAGTTTGACGGTTTTGCGGCTGGACGCTGAACCCTGAACCTTGCGGGGTTCGTGGTCGGGGTGCCGGGTGTTGAAGCGTCTTATGCGTGATGGTTCAAGGCTTCAGGGTTCCAAAAGGTTGAGTTTTGAGGGCTCGGGTTTAGGGTAGTATAGGGTTTAGGGGCCTTTGTTAATTCGACAAACTTTGGAAAGCAATCGGGGACACTCTCCATAGGCAGTGGTGGGAGTAGGAGAAAGACGATGCTGGAAGGATTTAAGAACTCAACTCACGCGAAAAGCAGGCGACTGAGTAGATCTTAAACGGCGAGCCAGACCATCAGCAGCTTTTTGATTCGCAGCCGGTCGGAACTCAGGACCCTAAGCCCTAAACTCTTAACCCCAAAACCCTAAACCCCAAACCCTAAACCCCAAACCCCTAAACCCTAAACTCTAAACCCCCCAAACCCTAAGAGCCTAAACCCTAAACCCCAAAACCCCTAAGAGCCTAAGACGATTTGTTGGCAGCAGCCCATTCCAGTGGACCCTTTTGGCTCAGCTCCACATCTGCAGGCGTGAGCCTTGGCAAGTTTAGGGTTTAGTGTTTAGGGGTTAGGGGTTTAGGGGTTTAGGGTTTTAGGGTTCAGGGTGTAGGGTTTAGGGTTTAGGGGCAAGTATGGGATTCGTAGATTAAAGTGAGGGGGGTCCAAGAGGGGTATATAACCTAGCCAATCCCCAATTCTCTCCAATTGTTACCCAAACTCTTTCTTAGGGTTCCTACTGCAATTATAGTATATTACATTTCTATTTCTGAAGGGCCCTAGATAGCCTAGACCCTAGACCTAAGCCCTAAACACTAAAACCCTAAAACCCTAAACCTGTCTCTGGATGCCCCTAAAGTGGGAAAAAGCAGGACGCTGTGCGAGGACCAAGGCACCGCAACGGACTTTTCGATTATCAGGGTTTAGCGATTCAGTGTCTACCTTAAACTACCGTAGCCTGCGTTTTCTGCTCATGACGTGATGCATCGCCCTATATAAATAACTGGTGTTGCCCAGGAACCCTACTGATAACCCTGTCAATACGCCACAGAGCTCGAAGCAACATCTTAGTTGCTGAGTACATAAGCCCGAAAAAGGGATCATGTTATCCCAATAGGTGAAAGGCGTAGTCACTCATCAACAGAAAGGGGTGCTTGTCTCTGCGGCCCTAAACCCTAAACCATAAAATCCTAAACCACAAACCGTAAACCATACAATCCTAAATCTCAAACCCTAAACCATAAATTCCTAAACCACATACCCTAAACCATAAATTCCTAAACCACATACCCTAAACCATAAAAATCCTAAACCACAAACCCTAAACCATAAAATCCTAAACCCTAAACCCTAAACCATAAAATCCTAAACCCTAAGCCCTAAAAACCCTAAAATCCTAAACCCCAAACCCTAAACCATAAAATCCTAAACCCTAAACCCTAGAACCCTGAACCCGAAAAATCGAATTAGGCCCGGCACCCTCGCATCTCGATGTTGGCCCGGAGCACCGCCTCAAAGGCCGTGAAACCTGTCACTGGACTTTGAAGTAACCAGGGAGAAACAAAAAAGTATAGACGTTTATTTCATAATGGTTCCTTTCGTTCCTATGGGGCCGACAGAGGGTTCGGATTTAGGGTTTAGGCTTTAGGGTTCAGGGTTTTGATCTGGGTTCGCCTCCTCTCCGTGGTAGCCTGGCTATGTTGCCCCGCCTCCGTTGCTCTTCCTGCACTAGGGGGGCCTCATAAGTGAGGTCGTCGGTGAGAGAGTAGACATGTTATAGTTATCCTGGTTCCCCGTTGGGGCTATATTAAAAATGAACATTGTTAATTCTTCTTGGGTTTCTTATAGCAAAAATGTAAAATTGTATCCAACAAGCACTCAATATCTTGTTAACACTTCCTGCTTGCTGCTTGCTACTTACCACTAGCTACTGGCAAGCGACTAGTAGCCACTAGCCGACTACTAACTACTAACTACTAAACCCAAGACCATTTACGCACTATAAATATAAGAGCCTTCACTATTCGAATCTGGTTTGCGGGGTATATTATAACAAAACATAGAAGCAGGAACCCTAAGGAAAGGTATCTCTAAATATTAAAGCCCTCATAGAACCCTTAACCCGTATTTCCCAAAGCCCTAAACCTTATACCCTAAACGCGAACCCTAAAATCCCCAACAAAGAGCCTCCAGCACCCAGTCGCTCGAAACTCCAAGCCATAGATAGTAAGCTCCTCAGTTTCGCAAAGGTGCTGGGTTTAGGGTTTAGGGCGGTTTAGGGTTTCGAGTTTGGGCATAGGGCCCAGGATGATTGGAATAGCCTTTTTGTTCTTTCGCCGGGGGAAGGGGTATTATGGTAATCTTATCATCTCCGAGATTTCGGCGCCGCACGACGCCACCAGACAGTCTCGAGAGGCACGATGGGAAGGAGGGATGCTCAAACTGACTTGAGAGAGTTCCATATATCTGTCGATATACATACATACATACATACATACATACATACATACATACATACATGCATACATGCATACATACATACGTACATATGTACATATATGTATGTGTATATATATATATATATATACATATTCGTGGCTGACTTCTGAACCCCTCCTAAAACTTAAATTTGTAGCCTACAGATTATAGTTCATATAAAACCCAAAAGGTTAAAGTCCTAAGAGCCAACCAGAAAAACGCCACGTATTATTTATACACACATTACATGTATGTGTATGTATATATATATATACTTATATTTATTTATAGAGACCACGTCACCAGGTGGGTAACCGTTTGGCCAGGTTTTGGTACTTCTTGGCCAGACGGGTAAGCAGGTCCACATCTCTGTGCCCAGCTCTGGCACAGGCCCACAGAACGGTGGGCGCGTGAATGAAAAGCTGCTGCTTTGTCAGCTTCGGCAAGAGCTGCTTCAGCCGCTCGACCCCAGCTAACAGCGTCTGGTCGCCGATGTTTGCCAATCCACCATCTTCGCCATCATGGAGCGCCACTGCTAAGAGGTAGTTAGAGACCTCTTGGGAGGTCATGCGAGGTGCACTCTCCGGAATTCGTCCTGCCAGTGTCCCTGCCATGCTCAGCACTGATGGGGCTTCATGTACAAGATGAGCAGAGGCCCATAGGCAGTTGGAGAGCTCTCGCGGTTTCCTCGGGTTGTTGATACAAGGTAGTTCAACCAGATTACCAACATAAAGGAAAGCATACTCTCTTGCTGAATCCTTACCTAGCTCTAGCACAAGTGGTTTGAGTTCATTACTATCTTAGCAAGAGCCCAGCATCAACTCACATTCCTCCACCTCCCTAAACCCTAAACCCTAAACCCTAAACCCTAAACCCTAAACCAGAGCCCAGTATCAACTCACATTCCTCCACCGCGTAGGCCACGGCGGGCACGAGTTGAAGTACCTCCGGCGCCACATCCTCTGACTGGCCCAAAACCCAAGGAGA